TAAGAACGAATGAAGCAGCATGCAGGTTGACAGAAAAGACTTCGCTCTTGTTTGATATTGTTTTCCAGTTTTAATTCTTTCTTGACACTTCTGACCTCCTATTCATAGCTCGCTGATATATTTTCGAAAAAATCATTTTAATCTCTTAACTCTTTTTCCTTTTCGAGAAAGATGTTTCGTAGAGAAAGAACTCATTGTTGTCCTGTAAGTTGAATTGGACCTTTTACTGTGGCTCATTTTCTTAGGCGGTTTGAGACTGTAATTTTTTATCTAGTGCCTAAATAGGTTTCTTACACACTAATTCTACTTTCGAAGAATTGTCAGTCCTGGATATCGAACAGTTGATATGATGTATTCTTTTCCTCGTCGCTACCGTAACAGCAAACAGACGGTGTACCCTTGGAAATGTAGACGGACTAACGCTCGAAACGTCAGCTTATTAACTCTTTACGATGGCTAATTTACGTTATCAACACATTTGATAAGACTAAATTACCCTGTTACACACTCCCACCGACGCAGCACCACAGTTGCTTTAGAAAGTTACCCCCTTTACCCATGCATGGCAATACCAAACATACCATACTTCTGATGAAATATACCTGAAACAAATTTCGAAGATGAATAATCATTTTCAGCCACAAGTCTAGCGACCTGAACCAGTAATGGAATAACGAGCACAGGGGCCTTACGAAGGAGGAGATCAGGGGCTGCAAAAACTTTCTTTATATCCACATCGGGTGAAAAGGAATTAAGGTCGGCGATGACATGAGAACAATTGAACTGAAGTCAAACCCGTGTTTTCAACGAATTCGATTAACTCAGTAGAATCTTCAAACATAGAAGGCATGTGTAAGTTTATCGTAAGAAGTTCATAAACAAAAATACTTATAGGCCAAGTAATGTACGAGTGAGAGGCAGCAATGGGTCGTCCTACCGTAGGTTTCTTATTTAGACGAACGAGACGCTTTAAAGGTGTTGCCTTAAGCTTTCTTAGGCGATTTTCTACGGAACACTTAAGAATTTTTGTCAATCAGGCCCCTTCATTCGAGGGGATAGATAGCACTATGCATTGGATAAACCACACTGAAGTGGATAACTCAATTGGTGTTGATAGTGCTTATCCGGTGAATAGCGATTTATGAGGTCGTACTGAAATTGATCATATCAGTATACCAGTATACGAAATAACGCTCATTCTGTAGGCATTCTGGAATCTTTAAACCTGCAGTGATCACAAGCCGGTATCTGTTTGTTTAACATGAAGCCATGTGAGAAAAGATACAAACTAGCAAACTAAATGTGTCACGTTTTGTTCTTTGCTCAGCCTTTAAGCTATGTTTTGTCGCTATAAAAAGTACGTAAAGTTCCAATTTTAGGAACTTTACATAAAAAAAAAGCAATAAAAAAAAAGTAGAAACAAAAACTAAGGAGCTTTAGAGGATCGAAAATTGTGAATCAATTAGTACTAGTTCTAGTTTTTCTAGCGAAGTCAGTTGTGTGGGTGTTTCATCAACATACATATTCACAACAGCCTGTAATTCTCCTTGTATGACTTTTGAATGACATGTCTTGCATATTTATTCTTTACCATCAAATGATTGTTGAACACTGAAAAATGTTTGGTAGGGGTACTTGTTGTTTATGCACCTCATTACTGAGTTTTTATAAAGTATTCGATTACAGACAGTACATATGTAATAAGGGCCTTCTCTTATTTTCCTCTTAAAGTGTTTAATACATGATTCAAGAGATGTGGCTTTGTCTTTGATTTTTCTTTTCTTTTATTTAATAGATCTCTTTTAGCTTCTTTATCCATTGATTCGTATTCTTCTGTGCGTTTCTGAAATAATTCTTTCTTCTTTGTCGCATCCATGGATTAATATGTTTCTTTATGTTTGTGAAATAATTTTTTTCTCTATACCATCTAAAGATCGGTAATTTTGTCTGCGTTTGCGAGATAATTCTTTCTTTTTTGTTGGATCCATTGTTGAATACCTCTTTTGAATCTCTTGCTGTCATACAGATGTTTTTTTCTGTGTTTTATCACCATATTTTTCCTTTCATTTTCACTAATTTCACAAGAACAGCAAATAAATTGTATATCATACTCTGTAGTCTGACATTGCTGTTTATTTTGAATAATATGAATTCCTTCTACAAGTTTTTTTACACCACTGATGTGTTTTATGTGTTTCATTGCAGGTGAATTACCATCTTCATATGTTAGAAGTGAAAGCAATCTTACTGTAGTATGATAAATACAAGCTAGACAGTAACTTGAAATCCACATTAAAAATTCTGTTTTCCCATTGTTCCTTAAAACCAAGGCCGTTACAGATATCCTGCTTTCAGCTAATTAAGTTAATTTTCTGTGACTTAGTTTATAAACATCTTCATTTATTTTCATGCCAAAAATGTAACACTGTTAGGAATATAAATAGATGCTAAATGATGTTCACTTTGCATTGTATTGTTAAGCCGAGATCCATTTTGAATAATTGCATCTAAAGTATTTGAGTTCCAGTAACCACAAGGTGAAATGATTGAGTAACATAGAATAAAGAGCTTTTGCAAAGCAGTGGTGGTTTCTGAAACAATTCTGTTGATCTGATGGTGTATTTAATACATCTTTTACACTGTTGCTCGCGGTCATGTCATATTTTGTAATATGTAAACCTTTCAGTTTATACACATCATAAACTTTGAAAGTATTGCACTAAGTTGTCTGCAAATGATCTATCTAATAGTATGCATGTCCCTTCAGGATGACTTTTACCATACTTTTAACACTTTAAAATGGCGATTGTCAGCACAGTAAACAATACTGACAGCAATACAACCAACTGTAAAAATAAGCGATCTGTATTGTTCTGATATCAGTGACTCAAAAGCTATTTTCAGGCCTATGCAGTATTGATATCCCATAATAGCAGTCTCACCATGGACATTATCAGTGTAACTCGCACTGTATTCTAGCTGGTAATTTTCCTGCAATACTATAAGCATTGTTGGTAATTCTGTTAGCAGTGAAAATGATTGTCTTGATAGTTTTGACAAACTGCTGTATAGTTGATTGCCAATATGCATTATCTGTTTCAAGTGACCAGGGTTACTTATTCCTTTCATATTGTGGTATATTAAAGCACACAAACTCATTGCAACACATTGTTGTCCTGCATTTTGCCCAAATACAATAACATCCCCTTGACTATATGGTGCTACTATTGTTTTACTGGGGTTAACATGGTGCATAACAGGACCAGGGTTTTCCTCTACATCATTACAAAGCTTGTACTTTGTACAATTGCCTCTATGAGTTAGACTCTTGTCCTCATTATATGGGAAATTACACGAAAACAACCTTAAGTATTTGAAATATTTTTCTTTCCATGTTTAGCTGTATTTGACTTGTTAACATATCTCATTGCAGAATTGACTTTTCTTGTTCTAAAAATTGGTTTCCTTCTCATTTCTTGTACAAGCCTGACACTTGTTTTGTGTCTACTTCTCCTTCGTGTTGCAACATTCTTAATAAGACGATGAACTTTCGATCATTTGGGTAGGTTTTTCCTCAATCGGCTTCATACATAACTCTGTAATTTTCTGCTTTTCTGAGAGAGACGTTTCAACATGCTAACTGGTACTCTGCTTGGTTCACGATCACGTTTGTAGCAATGACATTCACATACAACTCGACTACAATTATAATATACATACTTTGCATAACAAGATCTGAATTCCTATACTTTTATTGACACTAGAACATCATTATGTTCATGTACTTTAGTCAAATTGATAACTTTTTCTAGTATATCACAGTTATCAAGAGAATTTAACATGTCCTCTACCAAGCACGTGCAACTCCATGCGCAGTGCAAACCAACATTCTATATCCTGGTGTACCGGTTAACGAAAATATGTCCTGGTGTGCCGGTTAACGAAATTTGCGTGACATCGGTAAATAGAATGATAATACAACAATAGCAGTGATAAAGCTAGCAATATCAAGTTGTTTACAAGTATTGATTACAATCACGATATTTAACACAAGAAATTGTGTTAGAAATAGCTGAGAAATTCACAGTTCAAGTTGTTTCGTTGAATATCCTTCTCTTTATCCAATGTGGTGCTTTGCTTGTTGTTGTTTCTGTCAACATCCAAGTTCTGCTCATCAAGATCCGTGATTTTTTCAACATCTGAGGTATTCAAATTTTTCAAAGTTTTCAACGCTTCCAAGCTATAGAATTCGTGGAGCAACCCGTTCCGAAATCGCTCGACATCTTTTAGTGTGGGCCTACCACGAATGGTGTGTGCGTTTGTATGTGAGACGAGCGTATGAGGCATTGTTATTTCTGGAGATTTCTTCACAAAACACGGCGGCATTCTGTATAAGTTGTCCTGTTTGCGAGGAATGGCTCTGAGGATGTCGCGATTCTCTTTTTGGTGCGAAAACTACACTTGTGGCGACCAAATACGACGAAGAACGGCTTGCATTTTTTGACCCGAGCTTTCCTACGAAAGCTCGAGTTATAACGTAAATTCGAGTCGGTGTAATTTAATGATCGTAACCACGAAGGAATCTTGCTGTATTTGAAAATGACGATAAACTGACAGAACTTTGACATAAGCTGTCGTCGGCGCTTTATTCTACTGTCACGACAAATATAGCAGTCCCTCAAAATGATCTAGGAATAGTAAAGTTCCTCGTGCAGATGGCTGTGTGTCTCGATTTACACTCAATCTGTTGACAGAAGCGTCGGCCTAAGTTTGTTATCGACGGGAAGGAATTTGATCGTGTGATCATTTGGATTCGACTATCTCTGATTTGTATTTCAAACTGGGCCGCAGGCGGATGCTTTAGCGGAGGTCTAAATCTAAGACTCATTCCCAAAACCATGGACTTCTCTGGAGTGACTTGCTTTCCTTGTAAGAGAAAAGATCTCCATTGGGCAATGGTGCTTTTAATGTTCATATCTCATCCCCTACATGGCATTATG